CTCATCGCTGGCTTCAGGAAACCCCAACCTTAAAAGCCCTGAGGCTTAAAATGTTGGAGACACTAAGCAAGCACTGGGCAATTGTAATTAGGCACTTACACGCACATCAACCCTGCCTGCACTCTTCCACAGCAGACAAACTGCCCTACTTACAAAATAACCCTTAACTGATCTGCCAGAGGCAATAGAGCCAGTCAGGGCCAGAACTGGATTAAAGATCTAGGGATTTCCAGTCCCCTGAAATACCCATTAAACTGTATCGCCCTGGTCTATTGCCAACTATTAGGAAATTACCCAAGCAAGGAACATTCCAAAGAGCACTTGCAGATAAGCTCAAGCTCTGCTACAAGCCATATTAACTAAATGGATGGTTTGGCTGGGGAACAATGTTATAAATACTTAAGCTACAAATTAAAAGCGTGTTTGAGAGCTGTGCTGTCAAGTTAATTGTCATCTTAGCTGCAGCATCACCAGTACATGAGCTTATTTCATAACTAAAACCTCCAAATCCCACGCACTGACCTATATTTGAAGTGTGGGTCTCTGGGAAAGTTACTGACTGTCCCTTGAAATTTGCCAGAAGCAAGTGAGTTCGTATGTATTGCAGGATAGGGGACCAGGCACCCGCTGCAAGGCTGGATTCCCAGTGCTGGAGGGTGGCACAGCACCAGGGGATGTCCTCCTCCCCTGGAAGGGAACCATGGGTTGGTTGTTCTGTTACCAGGTCCACAGGCAGGCAAGGCTCACCCCACTTTGTCCCTTGCTGACCCAGCCAAGTTGTAGCTCAGTGCAGTCACATAGCCATGATGACAGAGGTGAAGGGCTCTCCTTCCTAGCAGAGTCTGAGAATGCAAATCCACACCTGCAACAAATGACACGCAGTGTGAGCGTGACAAGGCATACGAAAGGAGATAATGCCACCTACGGGCCACAGGGCACAATTATTTTCTGAAGGCAGATGCAGTTTGTTTCAGTCACATCTAATCAGTGGAATTAGCAAACCTGTCCAGTGAATAAATGCTCCTGCTTCCAGCTCACACTCTGCAGTTAAATACTTTTTGTTCCATTCAGGCACATTGCCACTGTTTCTGCACTGGGAGCTCTCACTAGGAGAGGACAGTGTCCTTCAACAGGGACAAAGTGAGGCGGCTCAAAAGCCTGGACTGAAGAGAGCATGGCCAGACAAGGTGAGGTTTCCTCCTCAGCACTCACTTTCAACAATAAACAAACAAACAAAAAAAATCATCAACAAATGCCCTTTTCTTCAGGACAACTGAGCAACCTCAGCTGACCCAAAGGCCTGTCCATTGTGCAAATGCCAATTTCTGGGGAAAGAGCTGATTTAGTGGTAAAGCAACAAAAAAGCCTAAATGTCAGCCCACAGAACTAGTGCTTACAACTCTGCCTGTGTTTCTAGGGCCGATAAAGCACTGCAGAGGCCTGATAAAAGCATTTCTAGATAATGAGAAAAATAGGACTAAATGAACGAGACTTAAAACAGGGAAGAAAAAAATTCAGAACCCTGTTTTTCCAATATTAATTTCTGCTACACCAAAAGTTGAAGAAACACTTAACAGTGTTTTGTGTTGCCAAGTCTATACCAGAACTAATGTGCTGAATACATTTCCCCCCTGAAATATGTGAGGTCATTTGGGTATTATTCTGTGGGCTGGGTAAGCAGGAAAGTGGAATGCTGAGCAGGCACAGCCAGAGAAGAATTGTGCTATCTGGGAATATTACTGTATCTCAGGAAAAACTTGGCAGTTTCAACTTGATCTCTGTGGCTGACAACAAACTGTGCCTCAACAGCCTGGTGTGCTGCCTATTCCTTCTTCTGCTCTGGTCCCAGTAACTGCATATGGCACAGTGCCTGCAAAGTCTTCTGTAGCTCCCAGACAGGTTGGCTGCAGAATAAACAAACTTTGTAGTCTCTTTCAAAAGAGCAGTCTGATTCACTTTAGGTATCAAAGTCTCATATCTGTTCTTACAGGATGCTTGCAGACTGCATAAATCACTCCAAGACCAGCTAAATAATACCTGCTTGTGTCTTATTGTTGATTCTCTTCTATCTAATGATATTTATTCATAGCCATCCCTTGGGGGGAACATTAACTTTGGTTTTACTTTTGTACGTAGTTAGTAAACAACACACAACCTAGAAATTTTCTTCACAATCCTTGTCCTTCTGTTAAATTTGCTGGAAACTGACCTGAGCTTTTGGTGAAGAGGACAAAGACAGCATTGCACACATAAGCCCAGGTTCCGTAGGAGGCATAGACTTCGGGCCTCAACTCAAACCCATGCTGCCTCAGTATCACATTCCTTCCCAGGAGGAGGTTTTTCTGCTAAATAAACCCAAACACATTAGTTCTAAAGTGTTGCTGAGAGGCCTCTTGGGAACAATTTTCAGGTGTCTCACGCTGCTGTTCTTCCTGAGAAACCATTTCCATGTTGGGCTGCATGTTCTGCAGTGCACCATGGTTTTCTCATCTAGTAACTGGAGGCACATTATTAGAACAGCCGTGTGGTTTATTTCTTAAAAAGAAAGTTTTTTTTCATTTGAGAATGAACAGTGTCAACAAGCTTCCTGCAGGGCTCTTATGCCAATGCACCTTTCATTTCAAAGGACACCATCTGTCTTTGTGACACATCCTTCTGTTTCCTGCTCTATACCAAGTAGGAAGAATCTTTAATAAACAACGAATTCAAAACATGGGAGAAAACCAAATGAAAGCAAACAATTTGTCCAGTAGTAAAACACAAGCCATTTGCAGCATGAGGCAGAACAGCAGCTTGCCAGTGAACTGAAACACTACACAATAGTCAACGGAAGGAAGCAAAGAGCCCTGTCCCATCCATTTGCAGTGGCTAGGGAAACACAGAGGAGCAGAATGCAATTAGCCAGGTTGGAATTTGGCCAGGGCAATGGAGATAACAGTTCTTTATGAAAGATGCCAAAGGATACTTCATGAAAGCATCTGTTCAGGCCTGGAGGTTTACACTACAATTCAGCTAGAGTACCTTGCGTTGCTGCTGAGACAGTATTTCAGGCCTAAATCAAGAAAGCAGCATGCCCTCTATTAAAGCACCACAGAAACTATTTGTTCTATAAAAAAAGCAAAGTTTTCTTACTCAGACTTAGGATCCCACACTCAAGACTGTCTGTAAACTAGCACCAGATTAAGTGGATGAGACAGGAAATGTCCCTGATTCTTGATTTTGGTAGTCATGTATCGAGTTCCATTCTTGTTCTGGAGTCAGTATGGTAAGAGGAGGATGGACTGTGGAAGAGAGTTTCTACCTCTGATTAACAGACAAGTCACTCAGCCTCCACAGAATCCCCAACAGACAATTTCAACCTTCTAATAGTGTTCTAAGATAACCAAGAAAAAGGCTGTGTTTACATACAGGGAAAAGCAGTTTGATAAAATACACTCAAATCAGTGCTACAGAAAGTTATAAAACAGTGAAAAGAACTGGCACTCCAAGTGTATGTGTTGTTTACTAGCAGCAGCAAGTCTTACTCCTAAATTGAATAGACCGCAGTGATGGAGGCCTCAGGTAACCAGGCCCCTCAAAATTACCATTTTCATTATGAACTCTTTCCAGTAAAAGTAATCTACTATGGCAACTCTCTTCCATTATAGACTTCCCCACAGTTTGCTCTGAAGTCTTCGTTTGTAAGTATACTCAGGGAACAGCCTTTCAGCTTTTCCACATACAGTCAGTACCCCACCCATTCACAGAAGTAACAGAATCAACCTTTCGTCTTTCCTGCAGCAGCTGCCTTGAGATGCTTCCAGCTGTCTCCTCACCAGATGTGCACTGTAATTGTTCCACCAGGGACAGTATCATTTGTCCTTAAACGTCAACATCTGGCAGATCTATTGTAGGGATTTAAAAGATAAAAGCAAGTCAACATATCCTCATAGAGGACAGAGCAGCTTAAAAAAAAGTTAGATGGTGACTGATGGTGACCGAATTATTTCACCTGTGCTGGTGTTCTCTGACTCTACTGTCATAATGCACAACAGACACCTTGGGTGCTGTGATTGATTGGTGAGCAGCTACACAAGGATTTTTGTTCCTGCCCACCTTTAGATTTTCACTTGGATGACAAACTTACTTGGAAGATACAGAAGTAGAGAACCAAAGTAGTTAACTCAGGTAAATACCAAAGCTGCCTGTATTTTACGTTCCTGTTTGCTTTGTTAAAATCTAGATCTCGACATACATGTTTAGTCTAATGTGTAACAAATAGATCATATGGCTGTTTAATCTGTTTCCAGTTTACTGCTCAGGGGTCTCGTGCCCCTCACTCAAGGCATGTGGTGGCTTTACCAGGGCACGCAGAGACTATTCTCCTCACTGCTGCATCAGCTAAAGTCTTGTAGAGAAAGAGAAGGGAGGTCAGGTATTCTTCTGCAGCAGCTGGCAGAAGTGCTAGAGCACACGATGGAGCAGCAAGTGTCTGAAAAAAGGCAACTGCAACAGCAGAATATATAGAAGACTCCTGAAATTAGAAACAAAGCCAATCAGCCAAGTGTCAATCATTCACATAATCCCCCCACCCTTCTCTAGGCCTAACAACTACAGAGTTTGTTACTGCAGGATGTCCAAGAGCAACACCACACCAAAATAAAGTCCAAAATGTCCTTCCAGGCTAAAGTTTGGAAAGGTAAGGATTTTGGATGAAGATCTGGATGCCAGTCTCAAGCAGCACACACATTTTCTTCATTCAATAAAGATCTTGTTTAGAGTTTCAGTTCTGACAGAACTTTAGCTGTAAAGCACTTCTGGTATGTTCTCCTCAAGGAGAAAGTGCAGGAGAAGCTACTTCAAATCTCTGAACATCTAATGGATTGTTTACTACACAGCATGATGAACTCCACATTCAGCCCGGGTTTGACAGATGACAGCATTTATGCCAGGGGACATTTCACTACTCAAAAGAGCACACTCACATTTCATCTAGACAAAAGTAATTTACCACACATTGGTTTATAAAACAGTCACAGGATTTATTGAGATAAATACAAACAGAAAGTTACATAGATTCTCTATTCCAACAAATGAACAACACTTCCAGAGTGTCTTCCCTTAACTGGGCTCTAAACAACACTGTGTACAGACACAACTGCCACTGGGGCAGTCATCCTGACTGATGCCAAGTGCATATCATGCACAAGATACCAGTGAGGCTGAGTTCTAAGCAATATAACTAACATGCTTTGGATTACAAGTGCTTGATAATTTCCTATAGCATCCAAGCAATATTGCACCTACCAGCGTTTTCATGTTCCTTAGCTAGAAATGTTTAAAACGGAGATTCTAACAGCTGATATGAAAGTGGTTCAACTACCTAACTTTGCTCCATCTGGCTTTTAAAATACTTATATTTGCATAATTTAAGCAACCCAGAGAACTGTATGCAAACACACCGCTTTATTCATCATTGCGTCCACTGGTCTAGTACAAGATGTAAAGTGCAGCCCTTAGACATGCTGAATCGTTTGGTTCAGTTCTAAACCAGAAAAGAGGCAAACCTTGTAGAGGGTAAACCTGTTTAATAGGCCTGCATATTGTATACCAAAAACCCCTCACCCCCAAACTACAATGACCCCATTAGAGCATGCAACTGTAGAGTTTTAACAGTTTTTAAATGCTCTACTGAAATCATACCATTTAAGCCAGACATGATTTCTGGAGCCAGAGAGGTACCAAAATACTGTTAAAACCAAAGAACTTTGTTTAGTCTTTTAGTGAACTCCTATAGCTGGTGGCTTACTGTTTACACATACTCTAATTAAAAACTCTTAGTGAACACTAACCAAACATGCTAAAACAGATGGAAGCTTGTGTTTTCCAGTGGATTACTGCAAGAAAAAGGTAACTATTTAAGAATATCTGACAAACAGAAATCTGGGTTGGGTTAATGTTCAAAGGATTTAATTTATATACAGTGCATTTCAAACATACTTACATATACACACACTTAAAAAAATTGGTTCAGTGCTGAGAAATGTAATGAACTTATAATAAAAACCAGAAGTAAAACCTTGTCAGAAAGGCCTTAGAAAAGTTGAACTGTTAGAAAATACCAGTATAATGCCAGCATTAGAAAAAAGATATTAGAACTAGGAAAAAAAAATTAACTCGAGGTCTTTTTGTTAAGAAATTGCAATCGTAAAAAGTCTGCACTGAAGAAGCATTTGCTTTAAATTATAAAAAAACCTGTAAAAAATAAAATGTAGAATCTTGCAGAGTTTACACTGTTGCTATACCAGCAGTGATAATTTCTGCCTGCCACTTCCAAAAAGCATTTTGTGGTCTCACAAGAAAACAATTTGTTACAAATACTGTACATATTATAATACAAGACTAGTTAAACCTATACAAAACTGAGCCCTCCAAAAACACAGAACCCAGCTGAGGAACCTGTTTGCTGTAACTGCAGGCAAGCCAAATTTAAATCAGAACAAAAAAAACCCAGTAATTTCTGTAAAAACCTTCACCTGTGTGAACTACTTACTAGTATAAGGAGTATATTTACTACTCATACTAAAAGGGAAATATTTACACAGGTATGTCTATAATAAAGTATCATGTTCAGAGAAACTAACTTATTACATGAAACCATTCTTTAGTATTTAACCATTTTTGAACAGGACAAAACTCCAATTTAAGAAAATAAGACTTGTTTTTTTTCAGGCCCTATATTATCTGCAAATCTGGAATACAACAGAAATCAGGATCCACCAAAAAGTATCAGTTTATAATTTTCCAACTGGCAGAAGCTATTCAATTTCAGTAACAGAACTTGGTTCTACCTGTATATTCTTTCTTCTGAAACACCTATTTAAACACACTGGAAAAGTCCTACTTAAGATTACAGATCTCCAAAACCTTCATTTATCATTTGCCCCAAACCTTGCCATACAATCAACAAGTCATAGAACCAACTGCGTCACCACCTTTCCCCTGAACATTCATTAGCTGGGGTTTTTCACAATTTAGAGTTCCTTCTTTTTCTTAGGAATAGTGACCAGTTTGGCATTTGAACACTGGATCAGTTAAAGGTAGGTTTTGTTTTGTTTGGTTTTTTTTTTTTCAAAGGAGGTGTATGTAAAACAAACAACAAAATCCTGTAAGATTCTGTCATACCCTTCTACAGATACAGCACATGCACTGAAGCCCTTAGATGAGCTGGACTTTGCCAGGGCAGAATAAATGACTTTCAGTTTGGGAAATGTACAGTCTACCTACTAGGAGAGCCAGCAGTGAGGAAAACAGACATGTTAACACCTGTAAGGGTACAGCTCAGAAATCACAAATTAATAGAAATTAATAGAAAAGTCACAATATACAAAGAACCTTGATCTCTCTGTGCTTTGAAAAATATCACATTAAGTAAAAATGAACCATGCCTTAATTCTAGCAGAAAAAAGTGAAATTACTTTGGAGCTCTTTTCCACTGATACAGAACTAAGTTCTTCATTGCTTTTTGATAAAATTCAAAACTATTCACATATATACACTTTTTTCAGTTAAAATGCAATACTTGAAACAACACAAAAACTACAATGAAAGTGAGGAGAGTATCTTCACGTAGGTTTGCTATAAAACAGGTTTGAAGGTTTAGAAACCATTTTGATCTTATAGTAGACTTCTCTACTACTGTAAATGTTTTGTTAAAAAGGAAATACAAATTTCAATTACACTGAAACACTGAATATGGTGTAGGACTTACATGAAACACTTAACTGCAGGTGAGATCAGTTATCACCCACATTTACAAAGAAACAAAAGATCAAAGGAAGTATTCATGCATATGAGACAAAAACACAGCCTTAAATGAAACACAGGCATGAAATGAAGACTCTAACAGTTTTAATACAACCTTTCCAGGTCAAGTAGGTAACAACTTCCTTATTTGTACACATTATTCATACCAACTGTGAAGATAAGGTGAATAACCATTGTGCTGTTCAGTGTTTACTGCAGAACACCACATTAGTTTTGTTTGTCAATGGTAGTATTGTCCATGTTACCCTGTTTTAGTTTTATGGTGGCAAAGAAGGACACATCTTGATCTCTGTCAGACTGCAGGGCTAAAATGGTCTCTTCTGCAGCTTCTAGATGAGGATTGCCAACGCTTTTAAAATAAGCTAGAAGGAGAGAAGAAAGAATTTTAATCAAAGCCAGAAGAATAAACCCTAGAGCATAAGAAATACAGAGGATGCCAAAAACATCTGGGGTAGCTCATCCAATATATAGGCTCCTTAGAAAAACTACAGGAAGCTAAGGAAGGCAACAGAAATATGCTGCTTCTTACCTTATTAGGTGCTTAAGCATTTCTAGGAGAAATTATTTTTGCTAAGCCCTAAATCAAAAATGTATCAACAAGTAAAAGCAAGCTCAGGAAGCTGCTGCTGTACAATGGGCTACAAAACACTCCCCATACTTTAATTCTGAAAGGAAGATAGGAGGAGATCTCTGTGCATGTTCCTTTGAATAATCTGAGATCAGATGATTTTGTCATTGTTGTTTTTAAAGAACTGTAGTACAGAAAACTGTAGCAGCAAATGATTACATTATTTCCTGGCTTAAGACGAAAGTGACAAAGCAAACCATTTCAAAAAAAGGTGTAACAATTCACCTGAAGGACCCCAAATGCAACTATTGCATCGACATGAAGGTTTGAAATACATCAAAATAACCTAATGTTATGTTTAAGAAAAAGTATTTGCCAAACACATGCCAAATCCAATCCTCAGCAGTAACTGCAGCACTTTTGGTCCTAAACAAGGCCATAACTGCCCTCTAGAGGATGAAAACCCAGTTCTTAGATTATCAATGCCAATTTCTGGCCCTTTAAGGATGATAAATATTCTAAGACAGAAACACCACAGTACGCATTGCTAAAACTAAGTTTCAATGCAGTATCCCAGTTTACAATGTGCAATTCCATTTTCAGTAATAACCGAACCAAACAGCCTTTTAAACCAATTGATAACAAACTGCAGTGGCAGAAAAGCCAGCACTTGTTAGATGTTAGCTCTTTGAAAGGACATTGATGACCACACCTTTCTCCAGTAAGGTCTGCCTTAGAGCCTTGGCCAGCAGAACCCTTACATTTGGCACAGGATCTGAAGCAAGACTTAACAGACTGGGGAGTAAGTGTTCAACAAACTGGTCGACAGGCATACATTCTTCTTCTACTACGGCCTACAGGATAAACACAGAACAGAAGCAAGCAAGATTTATGTTAATAATACACAATTTGCCATTCCTTCCTATGCTATCCTTAATTTGGTCTGGCTATTAAACAAATACACTCTATGTTGGTGAAGCAAGTACAACCTTTGAAATACTGTTATGAAAATATGTCTTATTGTTCTGAAGTTCATCTGAAGATGACCCAACAAGAGCAGCTATTTTTCTGTGAACTATATTTTAGGAAATATAGTTCTCTTGCCTGTATCACCCTTTCGCCTTTCAACACTCAATCCTTCCTCCTCATTGCTCCCAAAGTAAGCATTTTTGGTTTGAAGGCGGGTGAGTAAGTGGCAATAAGGAGGGAAACAGTTCTGGCACCCAGCACTCACAGGTAGTTTGAAGAGCACTTGTGAACCTTTATCCCAGCATATCAAATTATTACAAAATGCATCTTTGTTTAGGACTTTATTCTTGGACTTTGCCACTGGGATACCAGAAAATAGAAAGATCAGCTATTTCAGCTGGAGGCACAAACCAAAGCAAGGACCACAGCTTCCAACTGGATAGCCACATGCTAGTACTGAGACCAGACCAACTCTGCCACCATTTTCTGTGAACTCAGAGTCACAGAACCCAAAAGAATGACAGAAAAACTTGCGAGTCCAAATTTCAGTTTTGTCCACATTGCTGAAAAACCCTAAACTGGCTCCAAATTAGATATATACATAGAAACACAGAGAGAACATTCCAACCTGACAAATGAAGGCAAAAGCTTGTCTTCCAACCCACTTGGAGCAGTGGCGAAACCGCACCACGAGTTCATTAATGAAATTTAATCCCAGTGCATTTGCATTGTTTGCATAGAACTTCTGTAGTATTGCCACAACCTGGGAAGCAGGGGGGGGGGATTAAAACAGAGATGAGACTTTACTTGTAGCCCTTAAAAGGTTAACAAAAAAACCCATTATTTCATCCTACAGAGGGATACCAAAACCTGTAGTCAGTACAAACAGCTGCACCTGCAGGACTTTATGAATACTGTGCTTATTCTGGAGAAAACAAAGTACAAGCTATAAAAAAAAAGTTGTTTGTTCAAGTGAAACAAAAAAAACACTAAAAAGAACTTAAAACCAACCATTAAAATAATGCCCCTTTCCATGGCACCATGAAGAAAGTAAGACTGAAGGAATCTTTCTCCTCATTCAGGATATCTATGGGATGATAGCATTATTATGAAGTTCATAACAAATTAAATTAACTTTGAGGGAAGATCAGCAATTTTTTTTTTCCTCCAGAACTGGGGAAGAAATCTCCCAAATGTTCTATATCCTGGTTTTCATCCAGTTGCTAAAATCATTTGTAATTCAAATGCAACAAACAAAGATTTCAATATCTGTTCAAGTCTGACAATACAAAATACTTTAGAAATTTTTCACTTTTCCCATACTGTTTACCTTGTTTATTAAAACATCTCTATATGCCCTAACTTGTCTAAAAGAAAATAGTGATCTCAAGTATCCCTCTCAAATATCCTCATCTCCTGTCAGGAAGTGAATTAAGTCCCTACCAGCCTGAAAGAGATCCACCGGACTTCTGAAACTTTATCGGAGCAGAGAGTTAGTGCAATATGTCTTAAGTAGTCATAGACATCATTGGGATTATAGAGCTCCAGTATCAGGATTAGCTGCCTGGAACACAAAGAAAGTGGTTAACTCTAGTAAGTGCAACACTAACATGCTCTCATTTACACCAACTACTAAACACAGGGAAGGATCATTTGGAGCCTCAAAAATGCCACAGTTACTACAAAGCACCTGAACAGTTTGTTCTTCTCTTTACTTCCTAAAAGGTGCACATACCTATTGAAGAGTTATATGCTTTAATCCCTCAATGAGTACAAGAGATACTTTTATCTAAAGTAACTGCACCAGTTAAACAAAATTATCCCAAATACTAACAAAAGCTACAAACAAAATACAATGCAACTTCAGACCACTATTCTTGCAAAGCAAAAATGGAAGGTCTACTTTGGTGTAGAAATCTACAGTTCAGGAAATAGTTTGTGCCTTTGAACTGCACAGAACTCACTCTAGCCACACCACTGTCATGTTACCAGCAGCCTGCACAAACCAACTACAAAGCAACAGCTCTCCACTAGATGTCAGGGAACTGCTGTACAACACTCCTGCAGCACCAGAGCGAGATTTTGTTGTGCCAAACTACAAAGTGACAGCAAAACCTCAACAGCCCAAACAAAGAAATGAGATAAACATGAAGGTCAGATTTTGCCTGCAAGTTATGCCTACAAACATTCTTTGAGTGCTTCAGATATCAACAGGGCTTGTAGACAAGGAACTGTAGGATGTTACTTTATCTCCATTATACACAGTCATGTGAAAACACCAAATTAATAAACTATTTTTAAGAGCTTTCTTTCATATATGTAAGAAAGACTTTTTACATAACATTCCACTTACTGTTACAAGGCAGTCTAAAACTGAATAAGATCTGAAACCTCACTGAAGAGTACCTATCAGATTGCTGTATTTCATGAGCTGCAAGTGAACCAGCTCTCCATTTTAGTATAATTGCAGACATTTAAGTTTGTCACACTTGATTGCCACATAACTTGCCAAAAAAACCCCACCCCCAAACAGCAACAAAAAAACCCCAGATTAAATAGTTGTAAACCTTTAAACCTTAATTAGGATGTGTTAGCATATGTATGTAATTACCTATTTCCAGATTAGCAATATAGATTAAAAATCAGAAGTTAACCAAATTACATACTCTGCCAGCTCGTAACGAAACCTCCAGTTCCTGCTGTTATCAGTCACCACAAATTCCTGAAGTTGATAAAGATACTCTCGCCTTTTGTCTGCATGAAGTAACTAAAAGAAAAACATTACTAGTATAAAACTGGTAAAATTTTGTACCTGCAGTTCTCTGCTCTATTATGCCATTCATAACTGCGTGCATTTTCCTACTTGAAAGCAAGCAATTACTGACAAGATGCTTACTGAAAACCACGCACAATCAGCTGAGAGCCTGGACACACAGAACTACCATCCAAAAGAGTCCTGACTTCTACAAGGATAGCAAGTACCATCTCTGGGCACAAAACCAAGCAACCAAGCTCTAAGGATTTGTGTATATTATGCAGCAACTCCCAGCCCCAAACACAAATTATTAACAATCCAACTTTCCAGCTCAGCAGCACAAAATACTAATTCCTCCACAGGAATTAGTAACAGCTAATCGTATTAGTAAACAGGAGCATTTACAAGCACATTTACAGTGTCTTTCCAATCTTGATATTTTGTTGGGATGAGACAGAAGAGACATGAGAAACCTTAAAAAAGCCACAGACACACACATACACACACAAAACAGCAGTAGTGTACAAAACTAAACTAGATACTGGTTCACAGAATCACAGAATAGTTAGGGTTGGAAAGGACCTTAAGATCATCTAGTTCCAACACCCCCTGCCGTGGGCAGGGACACCTCACACTAAATCACATCACCCAAGGCCTCATCGAACCTGGCCTTGAACACTGCTAGGGATGGACGATTCACAACCTCCCTGGGCAACCCATTCCAGTGCCTCACCACCCTAACAGGAAAGAATTTCCTTCTTATATCCAATCTAAACTTCCCCTGTTTAAGTTTGAACCCATTGCCCCTTGTCCTATCACTACAGTCTCTAATGAAGAGTCCATCTCTAGCATCCCTATAGCCCTTCAGATACTGAAAGGCTGCTATGAGGTCTCCATGCAGCCTTCTCTTCGCCAGGCTGAACAGTCCCAACTTTCTCAGCCTGTCTTCATATGGGAGGTGCTCCAGTCCCCTCATCATCCTCATGGCCTCCTCTGGACTTGTTCCAACAGTTCCATGTCCTTTTTATGTTGAGGACACCAGAACTGCACACAATGCTCCAGGTGAGGTCTCACAAGAGCAGAGGGGCAGGATCACCTCCTTTGACCTGCTGGTCACGCTCCTTTTGATGCAGCCCAGGATACGGTTGCTTCCTGGGCTGCGAGCGCACACTGAAGCCGGCTCATGTTCATTTTCTCATCGACCAACACCCCCAAGTCCTTCTCCGCAGGGCTGCTCTCAATCTCTTCTCTGCCCAACCTGTAGCTGTGCCTGGGATTGCTCCGACCCAGGTGCAGGACCTTACACTTGGCATAGTTAAACTTCATGAGGTTGGCATCAGCCCACCTCACAAGCGTGTTGAGGTCCCTCTGGATGGCATTCCTTCCCTCCAGGGTATCAACCGAACCACACAGCTTGGTGTCATTGGCAAACTTACTGAGGGCACACTCAATCCCACTGTCCATGTCAGCGACAAAGATGTTGAACAAGACCGGTCCCAACACCGATCCCTGAGGGACACCACTTGTTACTGGTCTCCAGCCGGACATTGAGCCATTGACCACAACTCTTTGTGTGCGGCCATCCAGCCAGCTCTTTATCCACCGAGTGGTCCATCCATCAAATTGATGTCTCTCCAATTTAGAGACAAGGATGTCATGTGGGAAAGTGTCGAACGCTTTATACAAGTCCAGGTAGACGACATCAACTGCTCTACCCCTGTCCATCAGTTCTGTAGCCCCATCATAGAAGGCCACCAAATTGGTCAGGCAGGATTTCCCCTCAGTGAAGCCATGCTGGCTGTCACCAAGCACCTTGTTTTTCATGTGCCTTAGCATGCCTTCCAGGAGAATCTGCTACAAGATTTTGCCAGGCACAGAGGTGAGACTGACTGGTCTGTAATTCCCCAGGTCATCCATTTTCCCCTTCTTGAAAATGGGGGTTATATTTCCCTTTTTCCAGTCATCGGGAACTTCACCTGACTGCCATGATTTCTCAAATATGATGGCCAGCGGCTTCACAACTTCATTCTCCAGCTCCTTCAGGACCCACAGATGGATCTCATCAGGACCCACGGACTTGTGCACATTCAGATTTTTAAGATGGTCTCGAACCAGTTCCTCTCCTACCGTGGGCGCAAGGTCTTCATTCTCACAGTCCCTGCATCTGCCTTCCCAGACTTGGGTGGTGTGGTCAGAGCCTTTGCCAGTGAAGACCGAGGCAAAGAAGTCATTCAGAACCTCAGCCTTCTCCAAATCCTGTGTAGCCAGTTCTCCTGAGAGCTTCCTGAGGGGGCCTACACTCTCCCTAGTCTCTTTTTTATTTGCTATGTACTTGTAGAATCCCTTCCTGTTATCTTTAACACCTCTAGCTAAGTTTAATTCTAACTGGGCCTTAGCTTTCCTAACCTGGTCCCTAGCTTCCCAGACAACATCCCTGTACTCTTCCCATGCCACCTGTCCTTGCTTCCACTTATTGTAAGCCTCTTTTTTCATTTGAATTTTCCTCAGCAGCTCCTTACCCATCCAAGGAGGTCTCCTGGCCCTCCTGTTGCACTTCCTTCTGGTTGGGATGCAACACTCCTGAGCTTGTAGCAGGTGATCCTTGAACAGCAACCAACAGTCTTGGGCCCCTCTGCCCTCTACGGCTGTATCCCATGAAACGTTACTAAGCAGGTTCCTGAAGAGGCCAAAGTCTGCTCTTTTGAGGTCCAGGGCAATGAGCTTGCTGCACACTCTTCTCACTGTCCTGAGGATCTCAAATTCAAGCATCTCATGATCGCTGCATTCAAGGCTGCCCTGGAGAGTCACATTTCCAACGAGTCCTTCACTGCTGGTGAGCACGAGGTCAAGCACGGCACCTCTCCTTGTCAGCTCCTCTATTACTTGCAGAAGGAAGTTGTCTTCTACACAATCGAGGAACCTCCTGGATTACTTGTGCCGGGCCGTACTGTCCTTCCAACAGATGTCAGGGTGGTTGAAGTCACCCATGAGAACAAGGGCCTGCGAGCGTGAGGCTTTTCCTATCTGCCTATAGAGTGCTTCATCTGCAGGTTCTCCTTGATCAGGCGGTCTGTAACACATCCCCACAGTAATGTCTCCCATAGCTATATTCCCTTTAACCCTGACCCACAAACTCTGTGGGCTGCTCACCTGTCCCCAGACAGAGTTCCATACTCTCCAGCCTATCCCTAACATAAAGGGCAACTCCCCCTCCCCGCCTGCCAGGCCTGTCTTTTCTAAAGAGCCTGTAACCTTCCATTCCAACACGCCAGTCATAGGAGCTATCCCACTATGTTACTGTGATGCCTATTATATCATACCCCTGTAGACGTGCACACATCTCTAATTCCTCTTGTTTGTTCCCCATGCTACGGGCATTTGTATAGAGGTTCCTGCAAATCTCAAAAACACTCTCAATATAACAGGAAAAAAAAAAAATTGAGAAATTAAATTACACTTTCCTACCTTCAGGAAGTCATATAGATGTTTAAGGACACCAATACGCACTTCATCCAGATCTTTCAAGAATCCATTGAAAATTGGCACCAGGTCAGCAGCTGTTAGCTGATCCCCCAGGATAACTGCTAGTTCATGTATGGAGAAAGCTAGCGTCCGACGTACCTTCCACTGCAAACAGCATAAGAAGTGAAATAGATTAGGCACCAAAACTAAAGTAAACAAGCTTTTGAACTACACCTGTGTGAACACAGACAGCAGAAGAAACAGGACTAGTTACACAGCAGTAGAAAATCATGAAGTCTGACTTAAATCTTGAATGTCACATTTTTAATGCGTATTTAAACCCTCAACTATACAACTAAGTGAACAAACAAGATACAAAGGGTGCTGATTTATCATTATTTTTTACCTGTACATCTGAGGCCAGTGTCTCATACGTATCTTTCAGGCAGTGCCAGTTCTGCCTGCCCAGTGTCAAGGCCACTCCAGGAAGACTATACGCACAGTGTTTGGCTATTTCAGTATCAACAGTCTGGGCTCGAGCTGGGTCAGTCATTGACAAGTATTGGTCTAATAAAGGCTGAGGTATGATATCCTACAGAGAAAGACAAACACATTTTAAGAACAGAAAGAAAATACACTTGTTGCTACAGTATTCTCTTGCTACCAACCAGCTGGCAGCAAAACACAGTGTGGCAAGACCCACACTTTTTTGGGCCAGCTTTACAAAGTGACTCCTCGTGATCCTCTCACTAGGATATAGCGGTCAACAGTGAACAGTAATTATTACTTTATTAACATGTTGCATCAAACCAAACAGAAAATATCCTTTTTGCAGAAAACAGTAAGTCCAGTGACAAAATAGTACAGTTACTGCCCACCTTGGCTGCACAGATTGCATCTGTGCACCAAAAAGGCAACAGAATTTTTCTTGCTTTCCAATTTAAAACAGGATTTTGCTCAAGTGCCCAGAGCATTCCCTCATGCTCTGCAACTGATCAATTGCAAAAGATATCACTGTATTAAGCATTAAATGAACTGTACCCAGTACTCCAACAAAGCAGTTTCTATTTTAACCACCTGTAATTTTGACTTGTCATCATCCAGTGGCAAATTACTTTCTTGCTCTTTCTTTAAAAATACACTGGTTCCTCTATGTTGTTCCTCCGAGTTCTGTAAAAAGACACACTAGCTCGTGAAATTACAATTACCGCTGGTTAGGATATTTCAAAGCATCACACTACAGAACAATGCAATTCAGATACAGAACAGCCTTTTACAGACAAAGCCTTATTCAGTGTGCTTATACAAGTGCAGAAAGAGTTGTACACTAAGGAAAACACTACTAAGACCATAGCAGCAGCAAGGGGAACAGTAGTCAGATCTACTTCTAAAAAAAAAAAAAAAAACAAACATCTAATTCAATACAATAAACCCAATAGTCAGACAGATTTAGGTTACTCTCACTATACTCTTAACTATATTTTATTCTTGGCATGCATTTAAGTTATATTAAGACATTTTAGCAGTTGCTCCAAGTCAATCTTTCTTCAGTAAAGAAACTTTACTTGGTTTTGATACTTCTGGAAACCCCCAAGCATATGAAGCTAGGAAGCATATACCTCTCTCCAAATATTAACATGCAACTTCAAAGTAATTAAAGGTTTAAAGCTTCTAAAACATACAAAAGTTCAAAAAGTTCACACACCATTTTACATTTTTGTTTCTAAACAAGAAGAGCTTTTCCTTATTTTTCATTATTAGCTCCAGCAACATTATATACTGTGCAAACAATTCTTTTTACTCCTATCTCTACGTTATAATCAAGAAGTAGTAATCAGGAACTGTGTATGTGTCACCACCTGATTCAGCCTCCCGTCTGGTGATAAAAGACGAATTTTAGATTCATTACAGGAAGAGGTGAGACTATTTGCTACATTTGATCAAAAAACAAAAAAAAAAAAACAAAAAAAACAAAACCACCTACAAAACTACTGTAAAACTTTCACTCTTAAGTAATGTGTGTGAAAACAGAAATAACCCTCAATAGCTTTTCTTTCTCTTTTTTAATTAAGGTAGCATATGATACTTCTGGACTAATAATATTCAAAGGCTTTAGACCAGAAGCAGATCAATTATGCCAGGGACTACATGAATACACACACTACTAAAGCAGGTAAGAATTAATTTCAGACATGGAACACAACGCATACTTACTGTGCTTTTCAGTACACAGGTGGTAGACTGGTCACTGATGTTATCCTGGGAGGCACGGGATGAAAGAGTGCCCTCCTCCACCTGGCTACAGGTAGCATGTGAAACAGCTGTTTCATCTGATACTGTTTTTTTCTGGAGTTTGCCACTGCTTTCCTTCATGTTTTTGGTCTCATAGTCACCAACAGAATCAAACTCAGCAGCTCTGAGAGCAGCAGACAGCACTTGGACCTGAGCTGCATAAAGCAAAAGAAGCCTCTATACTCTCTTCTGCACTTAAAAGCATTCAACTTGTAGTTAGTTAATCTAGAAATGATATATTAGCAACTGCTCTTAGAAAGAAGAGGCCCCTTATTCTTCCACAAAACCAGCACAAATAAAGAGCAATGATTTGGAGGCATTAACAATTTCAGTAGAACTATTCTACTAGTTTCTACTGCTGAAAGGTATGTCCAGTAACCCCCTGTAATGAGGCATCACAGCATACCGGCTCTCCTCCCATTCTTCATACTGTCAAACTTTAATACAAGTTCTTCTGTTCTACTCTTTAACTGATTCAACTGCTTGGAAAAGGCATCAATATGCATTTAAACATTTCTGAGAAAAACTTTATGCAGAGGAGGGAATTAGTGAAACCATCTCCAAACCATTTTTTTTGCAGAAGTAGATATAAAACAAAAGGTCAGGTTTACCACTATCACCAATATTAGGACAAACTGTATTTGCACATAGCTGCACAAGCCTATGAGAAGTACAGTTTTAAGAGGAAACACCAGAGCATGCTTTAAAGATGAAGAGTACCAGATGAATTCAGCTGATAACAGGCAGCTCTGTCCCTAAAACCACAGTACTTGGTTACAGTACTTAAAGATGGTTTCAACAAATTTCAACAAGCTCTTTTCCCTTTTGCAGTTAGAGCGAATTTATTTCTCATATGAACAGGAGATAGGAACACTTCCCCACCTGTTCTAAAAAGAACTCAGGTCTTGTGAAAGAAGGCTGTTGCTTAACTTTCTACTGTAATTACTGCCAATTAAAATGCAGTCTAAGGGTTTGTAAAGGCTAGGAGAAAACATGCTCAGAGGAAATAGATTTTGCTGTTAAAGAGTCTCACCTTGAACATCTGGATCATCTATATGCTCTTGTAAGCTTTCTAGAACTTTTTTTATTTCAGTACTAGCAACACAGTTATTACATGGCACTGAACAACTATCTTTATGCGTTTCAGTCTTGAACTGAAGCAACTCCAGATCCTGACTTATATCAGGCAGAGGAGGGCGCCAATATAGAAAAGTATTAAATATGTCCTCAGCAGACTGTAGCCTTGAGCTCATTCCAGGAAAACTGCTGTCCTTAGTGACTTCTATGACACCAGCAGCAACTCTGTCACCCTGAGACAATCGAGACACATCTTCTCCAGGATTGGTACAACAATATGAACTTTCCTCCTGTGTGTCTTTATTTAGGTTCTCAACAGAGAGCTTTGTATGAACTTCAGCTGAAGTCTCTTCAGTCGATGATTCCGGTTTGATTTCCATTGGTTGTTCTGAACTGATAACAGACACAAATAAATACCCAAATAAAACTGAAAATTCTCTGATGAGTTTTCAGTGAAATACTTCATAAAACCCAGCATAACTACCTAAGTTTATTTTCCCTGCAAAAAGACAGAATTGGTTACAGCTGTGCTTTCTTTCACCAGTTTTCCCTTTACCCTCCTGTGAAGCCAAAGTGAGTATTTCAATAAAACAGCTACACTCCAATAGACACGTGTCCTCACCCTTCATACCTTTTCTAGAACTATATTCTCAAATTGAGATTTTTTAGCCATGAAATGCAAAAAAAATAATTATCTTTTTCTCTTCCACTACATCACACCATCTTTCCTTCCCATGATTTTACCTGGACAGTATAGCATTTGTACTGGAGGACATTAAAGTTTTATTGTTGCTTGGCTGACACAAATTGGAATTCACATCTTGCGTTGATTGTTGGATACTTAGTGTCCCATCTTCTTGAATGTAAAGACCAGCGCTCGAAGGGTTTGCAAAGGTAGAAATAAATGGGCCAAGAGACTGAAAAGCAGCCTGACGAACCTGTGATAGTATAAAGACAACAGTCAGGATTCATGCAATTCCCACAGACTTACTGCTGGAAAATAAAAATTTGGTTCCATTTTTTTACTAAGAACCAATTGGCTCATACTAAATAAAATGACCAGTTACCAAGTAAGTGACACCTAAGCAAAGAGTGTTAGAATAGTAAGCATTATCTACAGTCACAGAAACATTTTAGGGGTTAATAAATTTGACGGACATCCCCGTCTACTTCAAGGCATTTAACACAAGCAACGTTCTCAGAAAAGTGCTTACACTTACAGAAAAAAACTGTTGATAGAAATTTTATGTAGTCAAGAGGAAAAATAAGACACTGTCCTAGAGAATAGATTTCAGTAGATTAGACTCTAATCTCAGCAAGTTTAAACAACTTTTACAGCACACTCCTGACTTGCCCATTAATGGGCAAGATCTATCTAGGAAGACACATTAGCTATAGGGCAAGCGACTTACCCATCTGCAAGTGTCACTAATAAGACTGATAAACAGTGGGGATAGTTTGCTTCTGCGAACTTCTGGGGATGTGGTATAAGACACTGCCATAAAGCATTCAGCACAAGCTTTTCTCATTCCCCAAACACTATCAGAACAGAGCTCAAAGAATTTGGGAATCTGTCAAAAAATAAGCAAAACCAATAATTAAAAGCTAAACAGACTGCAGCAACTTACTATCAAGTCATTTTTTGGAAACTCTAGAGAATGACAACTCAAGGGAAAATAAAGTAAGTGAAAGATAGAAGAAATAAGGACACATTAAAAGCATAGATTAACTAAGAAAACAGAAAAACTATCTGTCTCCCATTTACTTCATCAGGATTTTAGGTATAACTATATGCACTAGGAAAGAAGAGAAAGAATTATTAATGGCCTAATTTTCCTGGAACTAGAACTTGACTGATAATCTAGTTCAGGGGAAAAAAAAGGGTAATTCTAAAGTGTGTGTGTATATATGCTCTCAATTACATTTTAAAAATTACTTTTCAAAACAAGAACTTTGCATATGTAGCCATTCCCAGTTTTGCCAAACTTGCAACCAAAGCTTTCAATAAATTAATTAAAAAAATGCAGGTACACTAATTAATTTACAGAGAAAATAATACAAGAAGTCATCACCAAACCTTTTGAACTGAGAAATTCAAGTCTTGTCAATTGATTTTGATTTTTACGTACCAGCAATCTTTCTGTGGCTTCTTGCCCAACTGCATTACAAATGTCACCAAAATTAGCTGCACAAATCTAAGAAATTAAAAAAGTCATTAATAACATTCTGGCTCTTTCAAGTGCATTAGTTTTATTATCAGCTTCACCATGCATTATTTATCCCATGTGACAACTGTATACATTTGACTATTCAAATTTCAGCCATGTAACTACATCCTGTAATATTAACTCATCCTGAACAAAGACTCATTAGATCAGGCTTCCATAAGCCACATGCCTTTGAAATCAATAGGAATAAAGGTTTCTGCATGAAGAATATCACCTAATTCAGTAATCACTAAAAGGGACAATAAACCTACTGGAAAGTTTAAATTACTTTGAATAGCAGCTGTCAAAACCAAAGCAGGCTGAACATGATACAAAGGTCAGGACTTAGATGTACTGACAGAAATATCTTTGCTATAGCTGTGATTGGCTTAAGTACTTTGCTGAAGCAAAGTTTAATCAAGGTCTCAAGTTAGTGCCATTTACAGTACATTACAAATGATATAATTAAGGGAAAATGGACATCCCCTCATGCTGGAAAAATACGCTTCCAAAATCTGAAATCAATTAAGATAGGGCTGTGTTAACATAGGATTTATTCATTCTTTTTTAGAAAACCATAATGCAGCTCAAATTCCAGCAAGCACAGCTTGTTAAGGACCAAGCTGCAGCTCTGCATAACCCTTAAGTCTACTAAATACTTTAAGACCTTTTATGCTACAAATTTCCTTTTGTACTTGACCATGAATTAAAGTAAACCTTACACATCGGGGATTTCTCCTTTCAATAATACCCGATTATTTATTTATTTTAAGGAAGGATGTCTCAAATATCTATTACTTTTGAACTTCTGGTTTTGCAATAAGAAGGTGGAAATCAAGTAATTTGTTTGCATCCCATAAACAAGCATGGTGGCTTAAAAAAAATATAAAAGAGGTTATGCAAAACTATTAAATGTACAAGATCAGTTTAACTGCTACACCAAAGCTATTCACCAAGGACTGTTACCTACTGTTACCTGTTTCTTTACTAAATGAGAACAACTGTAACCATGTCAATAAAACTGCTCTTCCAGACACTGTCAAAGTTCATCAGCTGAAGTTATGACTAAATTATTCAGGAAGCTATCTGAACAGCAACATACAAATTCATTTTTAAGTGGTTTAGGGTTGAAAACACACCAACCTTTCGGACTTGAAACAATTTCCCATCACTGCACAGTTCACAGAAACGAGGAAGCAGCAGGTGCTCAACTGTTGTTCTGCTCAACATAGAAGCCATTTTACAGATTATCTAGAAATCAAGAGGGGAATATGTGTAAGGAAAAGTATAAAGCTTGTAAGCACAGCCAAATATCTCTCCTAAAAATTACCTCCAAGACAGCAACTACCATCAAATAGGTTTAACTGCTACTCATTATTCATACTGTTATACACCTGTTAGATGTGAAGCACAACTACAGCTCTAATTTAAAATTATTCTGTGCCTGATGAGCATAACATTTCTGCATGTAATCATTGTCCTTTTTATTCAGTTAAATACGTTCATTAAAAACAGTTTCAAGGTGTTTTACGACGTGGCAGACACTGGTATTTTGTACAGAGAAGACAAAAGTTCCATTGCACTAGCCAGTACACAAAATCATAATCTTTAAGCATATTAGAAATATCTCAAGCTTAAGCATGCAAATAAGCTCCTTGGCTTTATCAGGACCACTCAGATACTTAAAAAAGAGCACAGTCCCAGCTCTTTATATGCTTGTACAACACAATAAAATACAAATTTGCCAAGCAACACGAGAGAAAGTGGAGTGTACGACAAATTAGTTATATATGGGAGCTAATGGACTCCTTACAGGAATGATCCTCAGAAATTTTAGGAGTTCCCATCACAGCAGAACTAAAGTTAGTAACATGCCCATTAATTTAGCTTTCTCTGAGGAACTGTCAATTTCAACTCCCATTACAAACCTTGTTTCTGCTGTGAAAATCAGCTGCTTTGGATTGCATGTTCCCTTTCAGCTCCAACTTTCAGGGATAACTTGCTGCAATTCTCATACTTGCAAAAGTAAAAAGGAAGGAGCTCCTATGCTCCTTTCTACTCAACTGCTCTGCCTGTAGCACGAGGAATTTAACACTTACAGAAGTGTTGTCAGATTAGCAGTACTCATATTTAGTCTTTCTACCTTCACAAAACCAAGCTTTATTCCTAGAAACGTTTGCCTTTGAAATAGAATGCCAAAGAAGAACTAAGGAAGACACCATTTAAGGACTTTCCAACAAATCTTCAAGCTCTTAAAATGCATCTGGTGCTCAGATGTCAGCCTGGAAAATTGCCTAAGCAATACCCAACTCCCAAATAAGGAAGGGGAAAATGTAGCTGGTATAACTGATTTACAGGTCAAGTGTCAGATACCCATGATGAAATGTAATTACACACCAGCACTTTTCTGTGGAGTCAAGTGATTTCTTGAAAGTGAAAAGGGCTTGTTTTTTATAAATGCCTATGAATTAAGATCAGGCCATCACTTCAACTTTTGCTCTATCAAGTTTCACAGTAATGTTTTAAATGTAAAGAAACTGTTTGAGAACATAATCTTAAGAAGTTTAACAAGGCTGCCAAGAACCAACTGCATTTTAAAGATATGTGGTGTTCAACACTACAAATGACTAAGAAACCTACATATTCAAGGCTTAGCAGCTTAGTGTACTTCAGGTTAAACTGTATCACAACAGCAGGCTCTCAATTCCCAACACAACAACTAACAAACAGGGAAAGCATAAAACAAAAATAGGAACAGTATAAAAAGTTTAAGCTCAGTGATTCAAGTAAAGCTCTCAGGACACTAAGACTGCAAGTACAATTTTTGTTTTCTGGGATTTATGCTCTTGAGTATCTCACACAGTTGTTATATTCTAGGAGTTTTATAACAGCATTGCTAAAAGCCAGAACAAATGTCACCAAAAAAGAAGGCACAGCTACAGGTTGGGCGGAGAAGAGACTCAGAGCAGCCCTGCGGAGAAGGACTTAGGGGTGTTGGTAGATGAGAAAATGAACATAAACCAGCAGTGTGCACTCGCAACCCAGGAAGCCAACTGTATCCTGGGATGCATCAAAAGGAGCATGACCAGCAGGTCAAAGGAGGTGATCCTGCTCCTCTGCTCTGCTCTCATCAGACCTCACTTGGAGTATTGTGTGCAGTTCTGGTGTCCTCAACATAAAAAGGACATGGAACTGTTGGAACAAGTCCAGAGGAGGCTATGAGGATGATCAGGGACTGGAGCACCTCCCATATGAAGGTAAGTTGAGAAAGTTGGGGCTGTTCAGCCTGGAGAAGAGAAGGCTGCGTGGAGACCTCATAGCAGCCTTCCAGTATCTGAAGGGGGACTATAAGGATGCTGCGGTGGGACCCTTCATTAGGGACTGTAGTGACAGGACAAGGGGTGATGGGTTCAACCTCAAACAGGGGAAGTTTAGACTGGATATAAGGAGGAAGTTCTTTAAGGGTGGTGAGGCACTGGAATGGGTTGCCCAGGGAAGCTGTGAATGCTCCATCCCTGGCAGTGTTCAAGGCCAGGTTGGACAGAGCCTTAGATGAGATGGTTTAGTGTGAGGTGTCCTTGCCCATGGCAGGGGGGCTGGAACTAGATGACCTTAAGGTCCTTTCCAACCCTAACTATTCTATGATTCTATGAGACCAAAGAAAGAAAAAAAAAAAGTAAAAGATGTAAGATTTCTTCCAAATTTACTTACATTCACAGCTTCCACCTTGTATTCATCATCACTGTCAGGAGCAGAGAGGTCCAACAGAATTGGACACACCTTATTTTCAATGTCACTCTGAGCAACAAGATCTTGTTCTAGCAGTATAAGCAGTGCTTCCTGACCTGCCTTTCTAACCTATTAACATGAGCAAACAAACATGTATCACTATGAATACATTGATGCAAACCACAAAAAGCATATTTTCAATGAACACGCAGATACAAGTTAAAAGAAATAAACCACAAACAGAAAAAGCTCTCAGTTTTTACTTCATAAGGAATTAGTAATAAATGCTACAGTTTAATATAATCGTTAGGTGACATTTCATCAAATTCTGAGGAGAATCCAAAAAGATAAAGACAGGACTTTAAGTCATGCCTCCTGGAACAGGCTGCATCAATACGCTGCTAGGCAAATCCTGTAAGTTTCCCCATTATCTGCTATAGAACAACCCCTCAGACCTCCCCAGCAGAGTGTGCTGAAACCAAAACACAAAGCTTTACATAAAAGCTGGTCATCGATCAACATGGAATTTCCTATTATCTCGTCCTCATGCTTTAAAATCACTGAACCGCACAGATTTTTTCCAACAATTGAACTCATGTGGTCTGGTTTTCCTACCTGATTGTTAACATCTGTGAGGTATCTCACTACTATGGGCATAAGGTATTCAAAAAACGCTGTTGGGAATTTTGGTCGATTTTCTTGCAGAAAAATGGCAATAGGAGGTATTTGTTCCATCAGCTCTGTACGTACAGTCGGCTCTAGTAATAAAAAAGTCAAAACAACATCCATAAGTGTGAAATTAAGATCAAGTATCTTAAGAAAAAAATGTAGCCTTTTTTTGGCTAATGCTTTCACCGCAGAGGAAAATTAAAATATTAAAAGAAATATCACCGATATTGCCTGTTCTTAAAGGAAAACTGAGTAAAATAGAACAGGCTTACATACATTGCAGTCCAGAGACTTGGGATCCCAAATAAATCAAAAAAATTGAGAGCACTAGCTAGAAAACCCAACCACCATGAATGTATGCACATGAAGTATCAAAACACACAACTGTACCGGACTACATACACCACACATTCAGGTGTAATTAATTCCTTGAAAAATATTACTTTGGGCCCTATACTAAGTAAGAGCCTTCATTTACACAGCCACCATGCAGAATGCTTCAAAACAGAAGAAAAAAAAAATTATGAACAGATATTGCTGTGAGATGATTTAGTTTCTTCTTTCAAAATATTTATTGCCATCTGTATTTCAGCTAATGTAAAATAAGATGATGATAAAAATAACAGCTTTCAAACCTGCATCTTCAGAGAGCCTGACCACTATTTCCATTACAGTCAGGAAGTCTTCTTCATTACTACTGAAATCTCGAAAGACATCCAAAAGACCTCTGGCAATAATCTGCCTGTGAAGGTAACAACATATTAATTGTTTTAATATCCTGCCAATGACACATAGATGTGATGTGAGGGGAACTTATCAAATGCAAATAGGCACCATAAAGACAACCAGGCTTTTCTCTGAGCTTTCAGACATACCGATTATAAAGTTCCCCCATGTCCCAACATAAAGATAGAATTGAGAGATCTTATTCAGATAATCAAGAATGAAAACCTCTTTTTATGGAAATGCTACATAAAAGTTATTGAAACAAATATTAGGCTTGTGCTTAGGATAACAACAGAAGTAGTGACACTATCATCCATGATACTATCAGTCAGTTATCAAGTTTACCTGTTAAATATGTTATCGCTGAAGGCATATTTTTCTAGACGAGCCAGTGGAGTTAAGTTGTCCTGGCCAGGAATATCCAAGAATGCAGTTATTCTCATGCTGTCACAGTCTGGTCCATAATCTTCGAACCCAACTTGAAAGACAAGAAGAGTAACCAAAATACAATAGAAATAAATCCAAGAGTCATCAAGAGATGTAAAATACATTACACTGATAATTATTTCTTTTTAGAACTATTCTTCAAAGGCAAAGTATCTGCACAGCACTGGAAACAGCCTACAAAATACATAATCTTAGGTGATTGTACTTAACCAAGTAAAGAACAACACTTCCACATAGACCTGTAAGTTCAAGCTTTGAAATTTAGTTCATTTCAACTGTCAAAATCTTTAGCTTTTAACACTTTACTTCATAATCTGAATGGACTAACCACATGCACTGAGTTAATAGGGCTCAGCTGACAAAACCACATGCCACAAACTGACCAACACATTCAAAAGGAAAGTCCTATTAAAAGAAACTGAAATGTTAAACAATGACAAAAAAAATCCCAAAGTGTATTGCTTTAAAATAGCAAATCCTTGGGCCTGTTTCAAAGTTCCTGGGATACATTTTTCTCACTGTAGTTACTGGGTCCCATGTATCTAAATTAGACTGGTTGCTTTGGGAAAAACATCGGCTTTGCCTTACTTGTGAATATTCTGGGAGCTGTCTACTGCAGACCTACCAACTACAAACTTACCATGTAAGCCTACTCTTTAGGAAGGGAGAAAAAAAATATCTTCTTTGTATTTGCAGCTTCAGATCCGAGAATGAACTTTGGCTTTAAACTACATTACTATTCATTGTAAAACACTTTTTATATAAAAAGACACCTCTATTGCTGAGAGGTACCTGGCCTCAGGTTTTTCCTACAGAAGAATTTCCTATTTCACATATAAAACTCTGCTTTCCAATTACTTAGCATGAGCCAAAACAGTCTCAGAAACACAGCTTATTTAAAGAAGAAATCACCTCAACACATTACAGCAAAACGTTATACCTGGATAAAGCAGACTGGTTTAAGCAAGCACAGTCTCCAAGATTGGATTAAAAGACTACAACAGTTCTCAATTCTGCTGCTCTTGCAGACATGCTCTGAACAGCAAATTCAAAAGAATGCAAACAGAAGAAAACTGTGGGATTAGAATAAAGATTCACATTTCAATTTTTCCACATAGATGCTACAAGTGAACCCACAGCTACAGGATCAGAAACATGCCAATTATTCATGGCTTTTTATAATTGCTACAAATTGTACTGGCCCCCTTATTTACATTCAAATGGTCATTATTATTTCTAGTGACTACTCTTTAGATAGTTTTAAGTTCTGTCAAATTCAAAACATTTATCTCCACAAGCATATAGAATTTTATCACACAGATCTGTCTGGAACTGATTTGTCCACATGCTCTAGGGCAAGCTTTCCCACCAAGCACAGTATCTAAAGATACATCCAGCATTTGCTGCTTCAAAGAAAGCCTAATATATCACTGAAAGCAGTTATACAGTGTACACAGGAGTGTGAATTTCCTCTAAGGTTGCCACAAACTCTCCATATCCAAACCTAACTCTGACCATCCTTCTATCTATGCAACTGTAACATGCATATGTATTTTTGAAAATGCACGCAAGTTGGACACACTTTCAGTAGCTGATTTTTGAGGCCAGCCATGTGTTATACACAACCATTTATTAGGGGTAATAAAAATAAATATACTTGCCATTAACTTTCTTTAGTGTCCACCTGTTCTTGAATTAAGAAGCAGGTTTAAAACTGCAGACTCTTACAAGTCCACTTCAAATATTTCAGACTTCCCACCAACAGTGAAGTAAATTCTCACTACAATACTACACCTGGGACTAATTTCATAAACACAATGAACATGCTTTCATTTACTGGAGTGGTTCTATTACTCATTTAAATTAGCTGAGCACACACCAGTGCTTCTTGGACCAGAGGGAAAACAGAACAACTATTTATGCTCAGAATCAGGAGGGTTAAATACCTGACTTTTTTTTCCACATACTCTCAGTACATATAAGTAACAGTCATGGCAGAATCCATTTTGTACTCTCTCAAGAATTTTAATTTTATCTTTCCATGCACAAAATAAGCAGCCATAGGTACTTACAAATGTCAGAAAGTAAATTACATAAATAATGAACCAGTATTTCTTATCTAACATTCTTTCACAGGTAAATCAAACATCCAGTATCTTTGCTTCTAACATCAAATGACTAAGCTTGAAACCTGTTCACCTATAAATGAGAATAAAAGTGACAGTATTCACAGCTGAGCTGGAGTTCACCTTGCTTTAGTTTGACCTACACTCAAAAGCTGCTTAAATCTTGTGACCATGTAGGTGTTTCTTACAGGCTCTAACCATGCAATTCAACACCATTAGCTACTATCACTATCCACTTTTCACTATACAAAACAGTAAATACAAGTGCAGAGTGCAATGATTTTATGAACTCAAGGAGGCTATTTTCTCTCACTGTTTCTAGAAGGAACAGCAATTTTTAAAAAACATTTCTTTCTTGTACAGAGGGTGTAGTAACCCAATGTCTCACCTTACAAAAGGTGAGTTTCAAACTGTATTCAATTAATTTAGGCAGATTTTACTATTGCTTGTGCCTAGATTCAGATGAATCTACCAGACTCTCCATTTGTTCCAATGGAATTGATCTTCAATGTGCATTAGACTATTTCACCAGTTTAGATAAGAACATAAAAATCCTGTTCCAGTGATTTATTTCACTGAGACTTTCCTAAAAGGCATCATGAACTCTTTACTTAACTGGTCACCAGATCAGCACAACAGTATCCCAGCCTAGATGGGACATCTAAGTTCTGATGTAACTCAGAAGACAGCTTTCAATACTGTAACTCTTAACTACATTGTCAAAATAATGAACTTAATCAAAGAATATCTTTAAGTCATAAAATAAGATTTCAATAGTGTTCTAAAATGTACATTTATAGTGCTAATCCTAAAAATGGTAGTTTCTTTTACACAAACTTAAGTGACCCATGTAAAAAGTTTATTAATTACTGCTTATGGCAAAGTGTTCTTCATCTGAGTGTTATTAGCTTAATGACTTAAACTAGTTTTGCCTACTAGCACTAAATTTCTCAATCAACTTACCACACAAATGATTACTAATACAGAACACTTCAGTCAGCATGATGGTCACCCCTAGTTCAAGGCTAACACATAACAGAACACTACAGGAAGATTGCATTTATTTCCACTGCTTGCACTTTACTCACTCAGCAAACAGAACTGAAGTGACACACTGGTTGTAGCTGGGGATTCTTACTACAGAGAGAGGAAAATTGGAGAGGTCACTTGGAGCCATAAAGACTCAATCAATTAAAATTGCTGATCATTAGCACTATCAAGAGCTTTGCTTGGGATGTTTTGCATTTGTTTTTGTGGGTTTGGGGTTTTTTGTTTTGGGGTTTTGTGTTTGTGTTTTTTTTTTTTTTTACTTAGGGCAGAGGGGAAGATAGTTTCAACTCTTAAGGGACTACAGCAACAACTGTTTCAGCCCTACTACTAGAGAACTCGCTGCAAAATAGGATTTAAATCAGGATAAGCACATTGAAATGTGTAAGTTATTGACCTCCTCACTTCAATTCTGTTCAACACACGTTTTTTGTCATCTAAGGTGATGACTTCTTACAAACTGCTTACTGCAGTAAGCAAATACAAGAAATAACCTATAGCACCTCTTTTTAAGCCTTTTTTTTTAGTGTTAAATCCCTGTGTGTCAAATTAGTGTACTTCAACTACTACTGTACACTCACGGTTTTTAATTTCTAGCTTTTCAAACATATAACTGCATTAAAGGAGGACACATTTTACATAGTTTTAAATTCATTAAGACCCACACAGTTTATCTGTATAAGGAAAATGCTTACTGTATTTTCAAATACACAAAAATACAAACAAAGTGAATCAAGAACTCTTATGTACACAATCTCGTCATTTATACAGCACTTACAGCCCAAAAGATCCCAAACTTCTCTTTCTGAAACTTAATCACAATACAAACACTTTTTTCCTGCTACCAACTAATGAAATGCAGAAACCTTAAAGATTGAAAGCAACAACACATAAGAGCAGCAACTAACAAAATCCCACAGAACAACCTGGCTGCCAAGCCAATGTCCCTACACATCCTTCCAGCGGAATACTCTGGATCTCACTTGTATTTTAACACTTCCCCTGATGTTCTTGAATACCCCCGCTTTTCCTAAAACAGCGTATTCATGCTACATTGGGGCAATCCATCTGTTGCACGTTTTCAAGTACAATTAAACAATAATTGTCTTGCGGTAAACAGTCTCTCACAAGAAACAAATTCGAGTATCAGCTTAAATTTTATTTAATAGAAAAGCCAATCCAGCATCCACAGCACCAACGAAACAACCCCAGACAGCCAGCTGCTTCCTGAAGCAGTTCAAATCCACAGAATTATTAGTCAAAGATTCGTTTCCTTAAGTCACAGCTCTTGCCAAGCTGTCTGACAGGTGGTCAGCTCTACTCCCGTAACACAACTCTGAGCTACACCAGCTTAATGTAGTATCTACGACTTTAACTAAAGCCAGCGACGTGTTAGCCAACCGAGTACACACAAGGGAAGGTTTTCTTTTATTCCCGCTTCCGAGGTGCGCGCGGAGCCCCCCAACAGGGTCCTGACGAGCGCCTGTGCCGCGAAGATGCGGGAACTGCAAAACTCACGGCGTCCTCAGCAGCCTCTACAGCACTTAGAAGTCTCACCCGTTCGAGCCACCACAGCTCAGAAAGCCCTCGACTGCTCTAGGCTCATTTCCACCGACAACAACGGAGCTAACCCTCTGAACCACGGCCAGCCGGAGCGTTTTCCTTCCCCTTTCCTTCCTCTGCACCGAATCCAGCACTTCAGCAGCCATGTGAGGCAAAGAGACTGGTCTCTTGGAAGGCCGCAGGACCACAACTGCCCCCCAAAACCCCGCTTCAAGAGGCCGCCCACACATCCTCCAGCGCTCGAAGCGCCAGCCAGCGCCTGGGGGCTCGTGAAACGCGCCAGGCGGGGCGAGAGCCTACAGCCGAGGGAAGGAACAAGCCCGTGTGCTGCTACGGGCACACTCATACACTCCGAACTCTTAAACCTGAGCACCCTGCAAGCCCTCACCAGCATAAACAGCCTCAAAATTCCTCCCCTCACCTTAACCTGAATAAAAACGCGGAGAGGGAAAGAGAGCGACGGAAGGACCCCGGGATGGGAGAGCGGGAGAGGGCCTAAAGAGCAGAAAAATAAAAAACAGTTACTCACAATCATCTAAGTCATCCTGCAAATCCACAAAATACAAAGGGACCCCTACAAACAAAAACAGAAAAGAGATACCGGGGTGTTGATTTCAGAGGACTACGGCGAGGACGGCGGCAGCCTGGGGCGAAGCGCCTCAGCACCCCCCGCCGGCCAGCCCCACTTACCAGCCATCTTGGTATGGACATGGGCGAGGAAGAGGAGGGGAGCGGGAGGGCAAAGGGAGGAGCCGTCGGTACTTCCTGCCTGCGGGTCAGCCCCCGCGCAGCCGGAACGGGACCGCTTTAACCCACAGCCCCAGCGAGGGAGCGAATCACCCCTCAGCGCCCGGCCTCGCCTCCTCACCGCGAGGGAAAGCGCGGCGGCGACGGGCGGGGGCGCGGTCAGGTGACGCCGGCGGGCCATCCAAGATGGCGTCGCGTTCGCGCAGCTCTGCGGAGGAAGGTTGGCTGGTAATCACGGTGTGAGGGAGGCGGGGGGCTGCCCCCGCGGGCCTCGGCGGAACGCGCGCCCCGGCAAGGGCTATGGTCGCACTGGGCTGTGTCTTCGGCGCTTGTTAAAGGCACGGTTTGCGCGGCCATGGCTCTGAGGGAGCTGAAAGTTTGCCTTCTGGGGGTAAGTGCTGCGCGGCCGGCTCCGGGGGCGGTGGTAGGGAGCGGGTCTGCGGAGGGGCTGGCTTGGAAAGCTTTCTGCAGTGGTGGAAAGCCTCTGCGTAAGGCTGGAGAGGCTCTGAGCGGGAGTTCTTTCCCTGGGTGAAGGGTGGGCCTCGCTCCCGCTGCGGCTGCCGGCGCGCCCCGGCTGTGGGGCCGCGTCCCGCTGAGGAGAGCGGGCGGCCGGAAGGGCCTTCCCCGTGCACAGGGTAAGCGTTCTCCGGGGGTAAATATCGCTCCTTTTTTTCGATCTTTTGCTGTATAAAAGAGGAGAGAGGGAGCAGGGGCACCCAGTGTGTGCTTCCCTCTTCCCTGTAAGCTGTTTCAGGCTTGGAATTCACTAAATAAATAAATAAATAAAGGTACCTGAAATCACACTCGAGGGGGAGGGGCCTGAACTTTTTTCTTAAACAGCATATGTAGGCTTTAAAAGTGTCTGAGGCGTTGCAGGTGGTTGGAGAAGGAGACATTAAACAAACTGAGGTAGATGTTTGGAAGAAGTTAAGGCTATAAAGCTGTGTTGTTGGTTTGGTTGGGTCTGAGGGCTTCACTGGAGAGCCTCACGTTGCATAGGTGCAGTTGCCCCCACCTGTATCTAAATCTTGAACTGTACATGCCAGCAGACTCGTTTTCTTCCTCTAAATGGCCACACTGCACTTCAGGGGAAAAAAACTGAGTGTTTCTGTACTCCTTTTGTTATGAAGGCATTTGAGGTAAGGACCAGCCACTGTTTGCATTCACCTGACCTGAGAAACCTTTCCTCATGTAAGAAGAGGAGAATAAGCACCCAGGAAAACTGGTCATTGAACTCCTGTAGTCAGGAACTGCGTCAGTGTTCTGAGATTATAAGCTTTTCTGTGAGAGGAAAGTAGCTTGAAAAAATAAGCACAGCTATGCATACTGTACCCAAATTTACTACAGCATTCAGAAGATTCAAGAAAATGCATGAATAGTGTAAAATTTTATTTTCAATTAAGCAGGTTCTCAGAGTTTTTTCTCTTTAAATTTTAATGACTCATGAAATGTAAAGCAAAATGTTTGTCTTCACTTGTCTTAATTAAATGACCTTTTAAAATATCCAGCTTCTATTGAGAACAGTCTTGCTGCTAGTAGTTGAGTTCTTTTACTCCTAAAGGTGCCTTTCAACCATGAAGTCAGTGGTGCAAATACATACATGACCCAGAATTTTCTTGTTGCGTTTCCTCTTTGGCCATTTATAGCTCTGTGGAATTCCATTAGATACATGTTTCAGGTGTGTCACAGAAGAAATTTCAAGTCTTTCATTAAGCAGGGTGGGACAGCATTAGTCAGGGGTTGAAATGTGTGTGTCACTCTTGTGTAACTTAATGTGCTCCATTGGCTTGAAAAAATAAAATGCCATACTCAGTTGCTGTCTATTTTACTAAAAAAGTCATAGATGGTCTTTCCCTGTTTCTTGTTCAAATGCAATCTGTGCATAGCTTTGGAAAAAAACAGAAGTTTGAATAAATGATAATAAGCATGAATGCAGATTTTACAGTCCTTCATAAAAATATCTTAATTGTTTAGAAAGCTAACTTATCAGAGACCTGTCATTTCTACTAAATTATTGTAGTATCTGAAGTATATTCAGAATATAACTTCTCGGAGATTCTCTGCAGGAACATATGATTCATGTACAGTGTACTGCAAGATCTGAGGACAAAAAGAAACATCTGGCTATAGTAACTAATGTCTCTTTCAACTGTTTCTGTCCTATTTTTAGGATACTGGTGTGGGCAAGTCAAGTATTGTGTGGAGATTTGTAGAAGATAGCTTTGATCCCAACATCAACCCAACAATAGGGTAAGAAACTAAGTAAAAGAAATTTATTTAAGACTAAAACCAAATTGTATAAATATATGTCTGTACCTCCTGAATAGATCACTTGATTCTCCACTGTGGCAGCTAAATGTGGTAATAAGCATGACTGCAGCCTTCATTAGCTCATGAACTGCCTTAGGAAACGTAGAAGTGTATGCAGCACTCCTATAACTCCATTTTCTTGTGTGAGATCTGGACCCATTTTGAATTCTTAATCTAAGGTAGCAAAATTGTGCTAGAGATCCTGGGTTCTGAATAAATGATGCTTCTGTTAAAGGAATAATGTGCTTTTTCTCATTCACTACTCTTAAGTTGTGAAGGCTATTATGTCACTGCATGATTTTATTTTTTAAGTTTTTTTTTATTATATTAAAGGGCAAGTCTGTTTTGAAGGTAGTTAGCATACTAATTCTGGCTGTAGTTCTCTTAATGAATTAGTTGTAATTTTACATATCTATATGCAATACACAAGTGTAAGTAACTGATGAAATTGTTCATGTAATTGGTCTCACAGGTAAGGATGTTTAAAAGTTGAGCCTCAGAATAGCAACATTACTGAGCTCAAATCTTCAAATGCATAGAAGGAGGGCCAAACACCAGGAGTTCTTGGAGTGGGTGGATGTTTTTATTTCCTTTGCTGTCTCTTCTGCTTTGAAAGTGTCTTATGAGCTGCTTTTCTTGGTAGCAGTTCCTTACTTTACAGGAGGACATGACTTCACTTGATGTCGAGAAGTGTGTGGGGGGGGGGATGTCAGTGCAACTTCCCGTCTCAGGTGATGCACAGGCTGTACTACTTCTTTGACCAAGAAAGATGCTGCTGATAAAAGTCAGCTGTATCTCATCCTGTCCTTCTGAAAAAAAAAAAAAAAACAAAAACAACCCAAGTATGGTTCTGCTGGTCTTCCTCCCTCTCTCCCTCCCCATTTCCCCTTGTGCTCCCAACCTTCTTTTTTTTTTTTTTTTTAACTCTTGCATATAAATACTGGTAGTGAACTGCAAGGTACTCTGTAGGAAGTATGCTTTTTAAAATAAATTTCCCTGTTAACAAAGGTAGCTTTGGAATGAATTTCATCAAATCTTGCTGTCTACCCTCCAAAGTTGCTTTCTTTCAATCTGGTAGTTTTCTGGCTGTGTGGTGTGTTGGTTGATTTCCTTTTCTTTTTTTTTTTTTTTTTTTCCCTCCTCCCTCCAGTGTAGCACCTATCTGGAGGCAGGAAAAAAAGGGATCACAGGCACATGTCTTCCCAAAGGGCATGTCTGTAACAGATGCTATGTAGTAACTTAAGGTGCTGGTAGAAGATGCTGGCTATTGTGCTAATGAGGCTAATGCGCAGAAGAGAATTTGTCTTCATGGATTTAATGATAGCACTGGGATTAGTATACTTTCTTGAAGTGACAGACTTAAAATATATCTTTTAGCCATCTTAACACAATCATTCGTTGGCCTGAGGATTTGATATCTTGGTAGTTTGCTGTAGTAGTATAAATGAACCAAAACTTGTCTAAATGGCAGGGATGCAGTCCCAGAATTTTAAGCAAATTAATTTTGAAACTTTCTAGACCTTGTTTTAGGAGGTGGGAAGAACAAACTAAGGATTAGAGGAGTTTTGATCATTCTAAAACTAAAGCTGAGGACGTTTAAGTTTACTCCTGTGGTTTTGAGTTCATGAGATACAATCTTGTTTCCTGTCCCTTTTTCATTCCCCTTAGCGTTATCACTTCATTGTGAATGTTCATCATTCAGGTTCAAATACAGGCAGCTGTAGAAATCCTGTCAGAATTCTGCAACTTTTGTCTTCTCAGGATGCTGAGAACATATTCTGCTTTGCCTGACCAGCATGTATCTGATATATGCCTGATCAGCATATATCAGGCACTGCAGAATATCTAGTCTTTCATTATAGCATCAAAAGGAATTATGAATGAGTATAAAACTACTTCAGGTGGATCTTGTTCAAGTAGTTATAGTGCTTACTTAATTGGTAGAAGCAGCTGGGAAACTTAGTGGGGATAATGCCCATTTTCTTACTAGAAGCGGTTGAGTATAGCTGTAATTTGGAGGGGTTTGTTGACCCAAAAGTGGTTTGTCTTTAAGCTGGTTTTCTTGGTTTTTTTTTTTTGCTGTTGTTATTTTGTGCTTTGTTCTTTTTTTTGACATCTGTCACAATGGAAGCTTCCATTTGTCAAAGAATTTCAAGAAGCGTGCAACCTCTGTTGTCGGCTACCATTTGGGATGTTTAGTTGTGATGTGAATTAGAGCAACACAGCTGTTCAGTTCAGATTGACTGTATAGGAATGTTTTGGTTTATAGAACCAAGTAAGGTAATTTCAGAGAGAATCTATGATTTAGGGAGTTGTTTCCATGTTGACTAGAGAATTCAGAATTGATGCTTAATTTGTAGCAGTCTTAAGGAAGTGGAAGTCTTTTTGTGGTTTGCAACAGATACTCCTATCACTTTATTTCTTGTTACTCTCTGTTAAAATACATAATCTAATTAACTGTATTAACATTGAAATGTATTGCAGTTAGACTCTTCTTGGTGATGCTGCAACCTTTTATTTGGCCTCTTAAAAGAATAATAAGCTTTGGAGATTGAGATGCTATTTGGCAAACTATCTGAGCTTGAGGAATGGAGAGGAGGTTACCTCTTAGTAGCTGAAAGCATTGTGTAATTGCTCCCTTTGCTTTTTAAAAATGTAGATAGCTGTTCTGTCCTCCTGCAGCACAGAAACGTATCCAAAGACTCCAGTTATAGTAACTACAGAAGTGTCACAAACATCATTAAAATCTGTGCCCTGGTGGTACTTAAGATCCA